CCTTTCAAACAAAAATTATGAATGTATGTGCTTTTAAAACTCAGTAAATTTTAAAATAAGTTATTCTGAAATTCGCTTGAAGATGAAACGGAACTAATGCTTTTAATTTAATATTGAATTTGGAGTTTTGTTTTCTGCTTTTGAAACATGGTAATTCCTATGTAGCGATGAAGACATATTTTAAATCAGTTTATATATATATATATATATATATATATATATATATATACTACCAAATTGTAATTGGTAGAGATTATTACAAAGGACTTTTTGTCGGTGTGAGAGCTCAAAGTATGTTGAAGAGCAAATTATAACAATATTTAGGAAACACCTTAAAATTCCATTTTCAGTAATAAATTTATTTCGATAAATATAAGTATATTCATTTCATCAGATGGTTTCGTTTGGTTTATTTTGTTTTACGGCATATCAACCTCAATGGGTTATTCAATGCCGACAATATTTTTAGGATAGATTCGTATGAATAGAATATGTATTCTTTGGTTTAGATTGGTTTGGTTTATTTTGTTTTAAGGCATATCAACCTCAATGAGTTATTTAATACCAACAACATTTTTAGGATAGGCTCGTATGAATAGAATATGTATTATTTGATTTAGATTGGTTTGGTTTATTTTGTTTTACGGCATATCAACCTCAATGGGTTATTTAATGCCGAAAACATTTTTAGGAAAAATTCGTATAAATAGAATATTATTCTGACTTTTAGATTGGTTTGGTTTATTTTGTTTTACGGCATATCAACCTCAATGGGTTATTTAATGCCGAAAACATTTTTAGGAAAAATTTCTATAAATAGAATATTTATTCTTTGGTTTAGATTAGTTTGGTTTATTTTGTTTTACGGCATATCAACCTCAATGGGTTATTTAATGCCGACAACATTTTTAGGATAGATTCGTATGAATAGAATATGTATTCTTTGGTTTAGATTGGTTTGGTTTATTTTGTTTTACGGCATATCAACCTCAATGGGTTATTTAATGCCGACAACATTTTTTAGGATAGATTCGTATGAATAGAATATGTATTTTTTGGTTTAGATTGGTTTGGTTTATTTTTGTTTTACGGCATATCAACCTCAATGGGTTATTTAATGCCGACAACATTTTTAGGATAGATTCGTATGAATAGAATATGTATTCTTTGGTTTAGATTGGTTTGGTTTATTTTGTTTTACGGCATATCAACCTCAATGGGTTATTTAATGCCGACAACATTTTTAGGATAGATTCGTATGAATAGAATATGTATTTTTTGGTTTAGATTGGTTTGGTTTATTTTGTTTAACGACATATCAACCTCAATGGGTCATTTGCAAAACATTTTTTTTAGGATAGATTCGTATGAATAGAATATGTATTCTTTTGGTTTAGATTGGTTTGGTTTATTTTGTTTTACGGCATATCAACCTCAATGGGTTATTTAATAAACAACATTTTTAGGATAGATTCGTATGAATAGAATATTATTCTTTTGGTTTAGATTGGTTTGGTTTATTTTTTTTTTACGGCATATCAACCTCAATGGGTCATTTAATGCCGACAACATTTTTAGGATAGATTCGTATAAATAGAATATGTATTCTTTGGTTTAGATTGGTTTGGTTTTATTTTGTTTTACGGCATATCAACCTCAATGGGTTATTTAATGCCGACAACATTTTTAGGATAGATTCGTATGAATAGAATATGTATTCTTTGGTTTAGATTGGTTTTGTTTTATTTTGTTTTACGGCATATCAACCTCAATGGGTTATTTAATGCCGACAACATTTTTAGGATAGATTATTATGAATAGAATATGTATTCTTTGGTTTAGATTGGTTTGGTTTATTTTGTTTTTACGGCATATCAACCTCAATGGGTTATTTAATGCCGACAACATTTTTAGGATAGATTCGTATGAATAGAAATATGTTGGTTTTCTTTGGTTTAGATTGGTTTGGTTCAACCTCAAAGGGTTTTTACATTTTAGGATAGCATATCAACCTCAATGGGTTTATTTTAATGCCGACAACAACCTCAATGGGTTTTTAAGGATGGATTTTTAGGATGAAATGAATAGAATATGTATTCTTTGGTTTAGATTGGTTTGGTTTATTTTTTTTTCGTCATATCAACCTCAATGAGTCATTTAATGCTGACAAAAATGTATTGCTGGTAATATTTTGTTTTGTCAAAAATCTGTTTCTGGTAATATATTTCCTTCAAAATTGTATTGCTGATAATAATTTTTTTCTAAAAAGTATTCCGGGTAATAGTTAACTTTTTGCTCATAGCTGGGACCCTAACAGGTGCTACCACCCTGGCTCAGGGTAGACCTGGGAATACCAACACTTAAGAGGTGCTTCCACGCTCCTCAAAACCTCCTGATGAGAGGCCTTGCTTCTGGACGTAGTTTAACGTCTTATCCAGGACGCGGATGTAGTTTAATATCTTACCCAGGACACGGATGTAGTTTAACGTCTTACTCAGGACGCTTCATCAGATGGACTACATTTTATGAAGTGTAGTCGGCCTGATGAGCTGAATATAATTACGATCATCGACATAAATTTATTACTGACAATGGATTTTTAAGGGTTTTTATATATATATATATATATATATATATATATATATATATATATATATATAAATACAAAATTTGAATTAAGACAAGGAACATTTGGTTGAAATTTAATCTAAAACCGATATGAACTTCCGATATTTTTAACTACGCGTCATATTCAATGAAGTGTCGTTCTATCTATGTCTGCCGACATTTTCAATAAGTCGAAACGGATAAAGATACGATATCGTGGAGGGGGGAGAGAGTCTAGAGCACGTCCAGGTTTAAAATCGCAATTCGGCTTCAATTTCAGCATCTCGTTTTCATTTCGAATTTACAGTGCGAGAAATAATTACGTTTCCCTGAGGCCAATTTTATTGGGAGGGAAATTAAATATAAAAACGAGACGATTGTGTATCATGTGGTAAATTTGGGCGTCTTCTCGGCCACGTTCGGTAAGATGGATGAATCTGTAGTTAGATTCTCCAGTGTCACGTAAGTTTAATAGAAATGCTTCTCGGTGTTGTTATGCAGATTTTCCGGAGAAAGATGTCGCGATTTTTTCCCTTTATTAGAGAACAACTAGCGTTTTGAATGGCTCTCAACTCACGCGGAAGTTTTCGAAATCTCGCGTTAAATGACGAATATGAAGATAAATTCATCGGTTACTACTGATTGTAAAGTTGAAGGAGAGCGAGAATTAAGAAGATCAAGATAGGGGTGGGAGATCATTTTTAGAGTTCATTTTAGTGGGATGATATTAGGATGTTCGGACATAATTACGCTTTAGCAGAAAGGAAATAAAAACAAATGCTAGTAAAATCCGTTTAAACCTAATTTATCAAAAATGTAATCACATTTGGATGTGTGGTGTGGTGCAATGAAAAATCACAGAGCTGAGTTCGAATTCCACTTCGGTTCGTTATATTCAGTTACGCGCTAATACCGTTGGGAAAATAGATAAATCTATATTTTCTCTCTCTACCCAGCTATGGAATGAATAAGACATGGTTTTATAGTTTTAGTTGGGGGCAAATCTATGAGAGAAAGAAATGGCAGCTTACTGCGGGAACATATTCTACCTTGTCAGTCATGAATTACAAGTGATGTGGTAGCTTAAGCCTGTATCACGTATGGCCTTTGACTTGACGAATCGTTTTCATTTTTCCTGAGACTACACCCTTGTGCAAATTAATTATACAGGAAAATGTGGAAACGCATGACCATATACACCCTTGTGCAAATTAATTGAAACAAAACGAATAAATCCGTTATTATTTCCTTTTTTCGTATTTTTTCCAATGAAACATGACCCTGTGAAAATGTTAGTACTTCGTGTGTCCATTCCAGGAAGTAGTTCCTTGCAGACTGACCAGAGATTCTCGATTGGATTCAAATCAGGAGAGTTTCCGGGTCAGTCTATAGTACTTTGATTTGCTCACTGGTAAGGCTTGCCAGTGTGTTCGTGCAGTGTTACAAATTTCATACGGTTCCTTCTAGTAACGTCCATCACAGACAAAACCTGCAGGACAACGAATCGATAGTCGAGATAATAGTGTTTGGGTGTGATAAAAATTTGATGAAATCACGGATGACGGAATATTTTTCTAGGCCAAAAAAATTTCATCATACACTCCGAAAATAGATTCATATTACTGCACACCACTGCAAATGACCCAATCTGAGGTAAGAATAGAAATCGATTACACCCTGTCACTCCAGTGGGTCTAAAACTGATCGTATGATGACAGAAAAGAAACTGAGGCAGTTGTTTCAATTAATTTGCACAAGGGTGTACAATTTCAAAACAAATTCCCTCTGTTTTACTCATTCACTCTTTCCTTTTCTTTCCATCTCTTTCTAGCTCGATCATTTTTGGGGTGCATCCCTCTGTGTGTGTGTCTGTGGAACATGCTAATTGGTCATTCTTTAGCGAATATTGTAATAAAAGTATCCATTTTGTTTTCTGTATCTTTCACTATTCTTAATCTCTCTTTATTATCAACGTATCTCATTTGCTTGAATTTGATTTAAGCGCTGGCATAGACATATTCAAATCTAAATTTTCCTCCATTACACAGACGCAAACGCGCTTGCCTATACACATAAGACAACGCAAACCTGTATTCTTATCTTAGCACGTGCACGCAGGCATACAGACATTTGGAAATATCTGTAGACTCCAAATAAGTTCACTTGCACAGACGCATCTTTATTTTTTTTGTATTCGTTTATCGAGGAGGCTTCGGTTTATGAAAGCGGAATCTCGATTCAATTCTCGCGCACGAGATGTGATCAAATTTTTCGACTCGGAATAATTTCCGCTTCAAACTAACTTTCAACATCGCTATCACAATTTGTGCTCATATGTTGCTTTTCAAATCGACAAAATAAACACATCGGTTTATTTATTTATTCCACAAAATTTAAGCTCGCAGAAAGAAAGAAAAAAGAAAGAAGAAAGAAAGAAAGGGACAAAGAATGGAAAAGAAAGAAAACAAGAAAAGACGATAAAGAAAGAAAGGACGTAAAAACAAAAGAAAAAAATAATGAAAGAAAGAAAGGAAGGAAGGAAAGAAAGAAAAACGAAAGAAAGAAAAGCGAAAGAAAGTAAAAAGAAGAAAGAAAAAGAATGAAAGCAAGAAAACAAAGAAAGAAGAGAAGGAAAGAAGAGAAGGAAAGAAAAACGAAAGAAAGAAAGAAAAATAAAAGAATGTAAAAGGAAAAAAGAAGAAAGTAAAAGAATGATAGCAAGAAAAGAAAGAAAGAAATGAAGAAAAGAAACAAAGAAAAAACAAGAAAGAAAGAAAAGAAAAGAAAAAAGAAAGAAAGGAAAACGAATTAAAGAAAGAAAAGAAAGAAGAAAGGAAAGAACAGAAAAGAAAGGAAAGAGAGAAAGAACGAAAGAAAGAACTAATCAATTTCAATCAGCCATAGCCAATCAATAAGCAGTATCAAGCTTATAAAAAAACAACTCCCTCTGGTGATGAGAAATTTAAATTTCACGTGCCTTTATCATTCCCCTTTCGATTTTATTTCATTTTCATTTTCAAGATCTTTTTTTCTTATTTATTTTATATTTTCTTTTTTTTTTTTTGCATTTATTTTTTAATTTCTGCCATGTTTTCTCTTTGATGGACGCGTGTCTATGACACAAATTGATATTTACGGATAATCTTAAACCTTTTCCTTTGTTTGGAAAATGTCTCACTTCAGGAAAAAAAAAGCCGCGATGGACAAATCAATAAAAGAAGAAAGAAAAGAAGAAGAAAAAAGAGACACATTTTGTGACCAAAAAAGCTTTTATTTGAGAAATAGACAATAAAACCATTTAAGGCATAAGGGGTAACTGAGTGTGAATGGAAAAGAAAGACGAGAAACCAAAAAAGAGTAATCAAGTGGGCAGTAGACAACTGTATAGATACACATTTTGTTGTCTTTTCACCCCATGCAAGGCAGCAGAACCACTAAGACACAAGTGGTCACTGAATGCGAAAGAATATGAATAAAGGGAAACATTATGAAGGAGAGAGAATAATAGAAGAGTAATCAAGAAGACTGTAGATAATGATTGATATTGCATTTGAATTTTTGAAGATCAAAGCTGGCTGGAGATAGTGGAAACGGAGGTGTGTTCCATAACCGAGAATACTACGACATATGAAACTCTTATCCTAGAACTTGCGATTACATCTAGCCAATTCAACTGTAAATTGACGAAACATTGCTGTCAATCTAGCACTTTGCTTAAGTTCATAAAGTCAAGGTACCATAGTAGAGAGTTCCTTCAGAACAATTACTATGAAAGTATTTACAGAAAAGACACAAGGAAGCTACATTTAAAATGGATTGGCCAGTAAGAAAGTATCTGAAGTTTTTAATGCAAATTATCATCTTTAAGTAATCATCGCAACGAGTAATGCATAAGTCAGGCAAAGAAAAACATGAAAACTGATTTCTCAATAGCAATTTTAGTGATGAATATAGAACTATAGTGGATGAAGTTGATGGCTGGTGTAAAGATTGGGTTTTTCATAGAAATTTTATATTTTTTTTAATCATTTCACCCCATACAAGGTAGTAGAGCCACTAAGACATAAGGGGTTATTGAGTGTGAAAGAATAAGAAAAAAGGGAAAGCATTATTAAGGAAGAGAAACAATAGAAGAGAAATTGAGAGGACAGTAGATAATGATTGATATTGCATTTGAATTTTTAAAGATCAAAATTGGCTGAAAAGTTTAGAGTTGGAAGAGAGTTTCACAAGCAAAAATGCAAGAAAAGAAACTATTAGCATAGAATTTACTGTTACATCTAACCAATTCAACTGTAAATTGATGAGACTTTGCTGTCAATCTAGTACTTTGCTTAAATTCATAAAATCAAGGTACCATAGTGGAGAGTTCATCAGAACAATTACCATAATAGTATTTAAAGAAAAGGTATAAGGAAGCTACATTACGGTGGTGCGAAAGTGACTGAAGTCGAGATGCCAGGTCAGAAATAATAATATTGCAGATTCTTCTTTGTATTTCATCATATATGGCAGCAATATTCAAGGCATGGACAAATGGTAGATTTATAAATATGTAAGATAAATTCTGGAGAACAAAAATGGTTTAACACGACACAGTGAAGCAACTTTCTTAGCAATTGTTTAATTTGTAGCAATGGATTCAATATAATCTTTCCAGTACATGTTAGCAGAGAATGTTAACCTGAGAAGACGCAATGTGTCGCTCTCATGGAAATTATGTATCAGCCATAGTCAAACAACCTGACTTAGAAGAAAACAGGTTTGTTTGTTTTGTTGTGTTTTACGGTATATCAACCTCAATCGGTCAATTAATGCCGACAACTTTTTTTTTCCTGGTAATATTTTTGTTTTGTCAAAAATCTATTTCTGTTAATATTTTTTTCCTCAAAAACGTATAGCTGGTAATATTATTTTTTTCAAAAACGTATAGCTGGTAATATTATTTTTTCAAAAACGTATAGCTGGTAATATTATTTTTTCAAAAACGTATAGCTGGTAATATTATTTTTTCAAAAACGTATCGCTGGTAATAGTTTTTTTTTCTTCAAAGACGTATTGCTGGTAATATTTTATAATGTTTTTACCTCAGTTTCGGGGTGAACTATTTGCTCATAGCTGGGACCCTAACAGGTGCTACCACCCCGGGTGAGGGTGAACCTGGGAACATCAGCAATTAAGAGGTGGTTCCACGTTCCTCAAACCTCCTGATCAGAGGCCTTGCTGTTGGACGTAGTTTATCGTCTTATCCAGGACGCGGATGAAGTTTATCGCCATACCTTGGATGCGGATGTAGTCTATCGTTATACCCAGGACGCGGATGTAGTTTATCGTCATACCCAGAACGCGAAAATGAGTTAGGAGTATACTCTAGATACAGTAATCTATAACATTCAGATCTGGGCTTTTACATGGCTACTGAGATAGACCAATTAAAGATGTATTCTTCAAAATATTCAATGTTTGATTATTGCTTTTTTCTGAATGTTTTCGATTCTTCCTGTTCTTCCCATCTCTTTAGAAAAGTTTCAGAAACGTCTCAAGCCCGCCAGTAATGATGGATACGACTGTCATCTTACCATTCCAAATTGTTTTCAGTTTTCTCCCGAAAGGTGTAGCACTGTCTAAGAAGCCACGTCCAAATGAATGTGAATTCTATCAGACAATCAGTCTAATGAGCTATATAACAAACCTTATCATCCGAATAGTAGGACAAGAACAGTGCGGGTTCGTTAAAGACACTGGAACAAGGAATGCAATATTTGTGCTCTTAATGCTATCAGAAAGAGGAATACAAGTGAAAAATATGTGCTTTATAAATCATGCGTTTGATAAAGAAGGGCTCTAAAAATGTTGGAACAAATTTGTAACCTTGACATATTTGGGAAGAATATTAGAATAATCAAGAACCTGTACTGATATTCGACAAAATCTAAAGAAATGTCTGTAATGTTATCAGACCAGTCCGTGCATATAAAGTTCCGTAACATTCCAACCGCCATGACAGCTACTCTTTGTCTTTCTGTTATTCTCATGTCAGTTATTCTAATCATCTCTCCTCCTTATTATGTCAACCTCGTGATTTTAAGCGCACGAATAGATTGACTAATAATTCTCATCGTTTTACTGATGAAATTGCTTGAGGTATGTTCTATTCTAATAGTGTCGTAGCATCTGCTTCGTACCGGAACAGATGCTACAGACCCATCTCCCTCGAGGCAAGCTGACCAAGCAGCGGAGAGGAGATCCCGACACAGAACAGATACTACAGCAAGCCTCTACTCTATGGCGGATCGTGTATTCATCTCTTTTATGTTTCTCTGTCTCTTACCATCTTCACAAATTTAAATACGACGTCAAACGCCATCTTTTATTTTCTTGAACCCTCATCTTTTATTGTCCTTTATCCTTCGTATTCTCTTTTACCTTGCAATATCGCTTTACCTGGAGGGGGAAATAATTTTAAAAAATAATTATATTCAGAGCCTGGTCTTGTAAAATTACAGTCAGCTTCTCAATCTCTCTTTTTAGATTACACTTCGAGCATTAATATACATTAATATTATTATCATTATTTTTATTATTGTTATTCAAATTGCAGTTGTTTCCACGGGGAGGGTCAATCGAGGAAGGAGGGTAACAAGAAATAATAACCTCCTGTTTGTGCAGCTTAATAGGTTTCTAGACTCAATGTTTGAACATTATGCCCTCGATTCCACTGAGAGTTAATTTGTATTGGAATCAAAGGGCTAGTGCGCATGCCCAACACTTCGTGGAATGAAGTCAGCCATCATTAACTTTTTATTATTTTTACTAATGTTCGTTTATTTATATTTTACATCGAGGCATTTATATGTAAAGGAGGACACTTCCAAAATTACTGTGTGAATGGCCTGAGGCCAAGTGTCCATTGTTAAGTGTATGAGTTTTTACATGCGTGCTGGTCAAAATGTATTCGCTTTTCGGTGTAAACACAACAAACATTAAGTTTCTAAGCTTCGAAATTAGAATGAATGTACTATCGTTTTCTTCTTGCTTGTTTGAAAATCTTTGTCTTTTTCTCCCGGTGAATGAGAGAATGAAAATATCTTGGAGTAAGCGTCTCGTGAGATTCCTACTATTGTACAAATGTGATCTAGCCTGTCAGACTATTTGCTTGTGTAGTTTGTAAAGACCCCCCCAACAAAAAAAAAAAACCACCGCCGATGACCCATTGTGCTTAGACTTGGTATTTCGCTGGAACGAAGTCTCGTCTCATTTTTTACATGATCCCTGGAGGGAACGTTTCATTGGTTTAAGCTTTGATATTTTTCTTACTTTTCAGATTACTTAATATAAGAGTGCGTAAATTTTGTATCGATTTTTACTCTTTGTAAAATTAGTGTAGATCAGA